ACATTGTTGTAGCAAATGTCATCGGAAGGGACATAAAGAAAACTGCTGCATAAAAAGAATCCATAAACGACATTCTTTGAAGCCCTACTCGAAGAAATACAGATTTAGTGCTCGAACTAACAAAATATTGGTATCACATAATCGAGCACGGATTTGCCGCCAAAGAAAGTATGTAAACTCGGATATAGATAAAAAGCGTGCCCGCCTGCAACTCGACATCGCTTCTGACATCACACTTATTAGTCGGAGAACTTGGAATCTTATCGGTAAACCACAGGTGCTCCCAACAACCAAGTTAGCTCACAGCGCATCTGGAGGAAAACTAAATATTGTTGGAGAGGTTTGTTGTATAGTTTCGGAAGGAAACGCGAAAACGAATGCAACTTTATATCTCACAGAGAACCCAGGACTAGATTTGCTAGGTCTAGACTTGATAGAAACACTACAATTAGCAAATCACTCCATTAACCACATATGCAGCGCAGTGAGACCCAATAAACCGGTGGAAAAGGATCTGAAGAGTGTTGTATTGGAAAGACATAGTCAAGTGTTTACGGAAGAGTTTGGGGAATGCAAAAAAAGGTATAAGCACTATTGATTCTTAAACCGGGAGTCATCCCCGTCTTCAGACCAAAACGTCCGGTACCCTATGCAGCGCTACCTATTGCTGAACAAGAATTAGAGCGTCTGCAAACAAGTGGAATAATCGAACCAGTAAACTTTTCTGATTGGGCAGCGCCAGTAGTGATTGTTAAAAAGCCTAATGGAAGTATCCGGTTATGTGCAGATTATTCGACTGGATTAAATGAAGCACTTGAAGCCCATCAATACCCATTGCCGGTACCAGAGGATTTATTTGCAAAACTGAATGGGGGTAAGTATTTTGCGAAATTAGACCTATCAGACTCTTATCTACAGATCCCGGTAGCGGATGAGTGTAGGCATTGCTTGACAATAAACACTCACAAGGGGTTGTTCCGATATAACAGACTTCCTTTTGGATTAAAGACCGCCCCTTCAATCTTCCAACAAGTTATGGACACTATGTTACAAGACATTCCTGGTACCGCGGCTTATCTCGATGATATATGGATCATGGGTACAGACTATGCTGATTTAGAGAATAAGGTGGATACGGTTCTCAGACGCATAGCAGATTATGGATTCAGACTGCATGCCGAAAAATGTGATTTTTTACATGGAGCAAGTCTGGTATTTGGGATTCATAATTGATAAAAACGGGAGAAAACCTGATCCTGAAAATGTCGAAGCCATTAAGTCCATGCCTCCACCGACTGATGTATCAACGTTACTTTCTTTCTTGGGAATGGTTAGTCATTATGGAGTTTTTGTTCCAGATCTGCATCGTCATCGTGCTTCTCTTAATTGCTTACTGAAAGAGGATCCTAAATGGTTCTGGTCAACTGAATGCCAGGAAGCATTCCTATAACTGAAGCAGCTTCTATCATCGAACCTTCTTACACACTATGATCCCGATCTTCCAATTATAGTCGCAGCAGATGCGTCGAACTACGGAATTGGAGCAGTAATTTCACATGCCTACCCTGACGGGTCTGAGAAAGCAATCGCTCACGCTGCGAGATCGCTGAATACGACTGAAAGAAACTACAGTCAAATAGAGAAAGAAGCCCTCGCGATTATATTTGCTGTAAAAAAAGTTCCACAAGATGTTGTTTGGCAGACAGTTCACCTGACTTACAGACCATAAACCGTTACTGACAGTTTTTGGATCTAAAAAAGGCATCCCGGTATATACAGCAAACCGGCTACAGCGATGGGCTACCACACTGCTGGGCTATGATTTCAAGATAAAGTATCAACCAACAACGGATTTCGGACAGGCAGATGCACTCTCAAGATTGATTGGTCTGCATGAAAAACAAGAAGAAGAGGTGCTTGTAGCTGCTATAGATGTCGAGGCCGAGGTTCACAAAATATTGTCAGACGCAGTTTCCGGACTCCCGGTCACATTCGAAGGCATCAAAGCAGCAAGCAAGAAGGATAATGTATTGAAGATTGTTCGCCATTGCATACTCAACAAATGGCCTTCATTTAGACTACACGGAGAACTCTTACAATATTTTCGTCGACGAGAGTCATTAACAGTTGTCGATTCATATATAATGTTTGGCCATCGTATCGTTATCCCCAGAAATCTTCGACACCAAGTCATTAAACAGTTCCACAGCGGGCATCCGGGAATAAGTAAAATGAAGTCACTAGCTCGCAGCTATGCATACTGGCCGTCAATGGACCATGATATAGAGCAAAAATGTCGCAGTTGTTGGTCCTGTCTAGAGGCTGCGAAGAATCGAACAAAAGCTGAACCACAACCATGGCCTAAACCGGACGGGCCTTGGCAAAGAAAACATGCTGATTTCGCCGGACCAATACAAAGCAGGAATTACTTAGTTGTTGTAGATGCTTTCACAAAATGGCCAGAAGTATATGACATGCCGAATACGACTTCAGAGAGTACAATAAGAAGATTGTCAGGATTTTTTGCTTGTTTTGGGGTTCCAGAGATCTTAGTGACCGACAATGGTACTCAGTTTATTTCATCCGCCTTCAAACGCTTTTGCAGTGAAAATGGCATATTGCATCTACAATCTCTTCCGTACCATCCTCAGTCGAATGGCCAGGCAGAAAGATTCGTGGATACGATTAAAAGAGCTCTGGTCAAAGGGGGAGGTGAGGGTATCCCGGAACAAGTGATTAATAAGTTCTTGATGTCTTACAGAGTTACTCCTAATCCGGCAGTACCAGAAGGAAAGTCCCCACCGAGTGTATGTTCGGACGGAAAATCCGGACAGTCTTTAACAGTATATTGCCACCCAGAAGGACAAATAAACCCACAAATGAAAATCGTAAGGTCAATCGTAGCTTCCAGGTGGGTGAAAAGGTACTTGTCAGATCTTATCAAGGTAATAAGAAGTGGGAACCAGGTGTCATAGAACGTCGAATCGGAAATGTACTGTACCTAGTCCGGAAAGGTGTCGGAAAATGCATAAGACATATAAATCAAATACAAAGGAATGATAGTACAGTGGTCACAGAAAACCGGCTCCCATTTCAATTGCTCGTAGATTCATCTCAGAAAAACCATCATGAGCGCAAATATCGAAAAGACAAACGACGCAGAGAGAAAGCTGTACAACCCTCGAGAGTAATGGACCGCAAGAGGAAGGCGACACCCAAGCTTCAGGTGGATCCAAGAAAAAAATCTTACACAACGGACTTTAAAGGGAGGAGGTGTGACGACGGACCACCGGTGAACTCGAGGAAGCTGTAAGAGGCTCAGAAGGAACCGAAGACGTCCCATCCATTCACCTTTCGGAAGAATGTTCTAGAATTCCAACGTGTAACTTCCCGATTGGATAATGCTAATAACCCCCTGTATGCGGATCGGAAGACTGTAATGATGATTTCGTTCTCACTAAAAACTATAAATACCTGACAATTTTGTACTATGATTGACACTGTTTGGAATAATATTCCTTTCGTTAGTCTTCTGTCTTCTTATTGCGACTTGGAGGGGTTTTGGTGTTCTAGTGCTCTGTTATACGCGGTATATCGAGAAAATCAGCTTTTCAAGATATAACACGTATATTATGGGATCTCTAATGTGTTGGAATAATGTTAATCCAATCGAGGTTTCTAACAGTCGAACGACGATATCGATGACCCTACTTCTAAGTTAACCCAGTTTATATATGGTGCATTAAAGTCACCTACTAAAATGCTTTTACCGTTGTTACATCAGGACTTAAGTTTACTTAGGATAAAATCATCTGCTACACATTCTGAACTGCGATATACTACAACTACTTCAATATCTTGCCGTCGGCATTTCAACTTACATCCCACCAGTTCACATGTCCCTGAAACATGTGCCACTGCCTCAGCTAATCTTATGGTTAGGGTACTTTTCGTGTACAAAATAACCCCGCCTCTCCTTCGGTTTAATCTATCAGCCCTACTGGTTATGAAACCAGTCAGCTGAATTTCACTGTCTAATACTTCTGACGTTAACCAAGTTTCCGAGACAGCAATAACGTTCAGTTTTTCTTTATCCACCACTGACTTGAGCTCCGCCATTTTATTTTGTAGGCTGCGAGCATTTGCGTAGCATACCTTTAAGTCTGTGGAGAGCTTTACCTTGCCACCCAGAGTGGCTTGGGGATGGGGGATGGAACATATATTGCGCAAGTCATCAACCTGCATCGCGGGGCAAGCCATAACTTCGAATCCTGAAGGAAGCGGAAAAGAGGAGGGAGAAACGACACATTACGTCGGGAAATGGAGTCAGATATGAACAACTGGAGAGAAATGGGAAGGCTTACTCAGGACAGGGTTAGGTGGAGAGTGATAGTGAGCGGCCTAAGCTCGTCCATGAGGAGTAACAGGCGTAAGTAAGTAAGTACGTTTGCGGTACACCAAGTGAGCGCTCAGGTTCACTTTGGAAAGTCCCGTGCAGTTGCAGATGAAGCTTTCATCAATATAGTCTATGTGGGTATGTTGAAATGTTCGAGAGTATTTTTCAGTTAGGAGGTTAGCGACGTCACCGTCTTTATTTGTCGGCCCATTAGGACATAACAGTTGGGAAACTCCAGTTTTGACTTGTCGAAAAGAGGATGCATAACGGAATATGCTTTCGGACTGGAGACAACTTTATCAATAAGCTTTATCTGGTACTGAAGCCTATCTTTGCCTTTGTGGATATGTTCCTTATTTTTTTGTATTGCCTGTATGAGCCGTTGTTATCAGTTGGTTTGTACTCCGCCCAACGGTGCCTTTTGCAGCTTACCAAACGAAGAGTGTGCTTCGCGATGACTGTAGGGTGCTTGTAGTTTTTGGATACCCTCTGAGAGGAAGACTACTTTGTAGTACATAAGGTCGTGTACACCTGTTGTTACCAGGTAGCAAACATCACTTTTAAAAACTCGTTTTACACGAGCGTTTATTAATCTTTTAGGTAAATGGCAGGTAAAAACAGGAATATATGCAAAAATTATATTTCTGAGTCTCATACTCCGTACGAAAGGCAGATAATATGTGACATCAAGGACTATCCTGCCTCAAAAAGGCGGACCAAATAGATTTACATCAGCAAATAAGAAGTAATCCTGAGTCTAATGTATGATATACAAATTCCAAGGTCTTTTAATGGTAACTAAATCCCCAAAATGAGTAGTTCAGAGAGTCTTTCACGTTGATGTGGATTTCATTAGTTGAACTGCACACATACCAGCTCAAGGTGCTAGGTCATGCACCTGCACCAGGTCACTAGTGAGTATGGCGTCCTACACACCCATCATAACAACTGGACGGTTTAGACTAAACGCTTCTCAACATATCACTGGTTTTCCAAATATGTTTTCGAACTCCTTCATCTCCGACTTCTGGTTGGACTGCATTTTATCCTTCGGCTATAAAGTTATTTCAGACGAAAGTGCTTTCCATTAGTGAACATCCGTGACATGCTTCTCTCCGAAACCTACTCTATTATTTACATATGAACTGGTGCTTGGAAACTGAAGACCATGAACGAACGTAAGTGTAATATACTGCAATCATAAATAAAGGGTGAATTAGTGTATAAGACAGTCATCATCTCACATAAACCTCACACAGAAATAACTCCAAGTTGTATAGGGTCCCAAGCATATTGGCAACGTCCTCAAAGATTATTTCGCTATACCTAGTATTTTCACTTTCTCGGTGGACATGCGCTACTTAGCTCAAATATAATAAAGGTTAGAGATTGATGATGTCACAGGTAGTCAGTGTTTGACAACGCTTCTACCAGTAACACCTTCTAATATATTTCGTTCCCACCCACAGAAATCAAAAGACAAAGTCGAGGAGGTCGGAAAAGTATATTTGGCGTTGACCAATATATCGGAATTCTCTGATCTAATCTGGCTAGCGATTGCGGTTGATGTTGAGCACGACGTTACCACACGTGATCTGGTGCGGATGCCTGACCGAGCGCCTTCATCTAGATGAGTCCACTAAAACATATGGTCAGCATCCAATGTCGAAAACTTAGTGCTATTTATTTTGGGGATTTATTTACCGCTACAGATCACTCCCCCCCTAGTGGGGCAGTGACGACCCTAAGATGTGGCCAGCCAGAAGTTTAAACCCAACGAGTTTGTCGTTGGTAAACACTCTTCTGATAGCTTACTAAGTGTAGCAGTGTCTGGTCGTCTTTCCTTACTATATGGGACGGAGGTACAACATAGTAAAAAAGGAAAAAGTTACAACGAAAATTTCAACTCCTCGTAAACTGCATCGCTCTTTTCCAGTCGTCCTAAAAAAGAAAAAAGAAAGTGTAAGTGCATGTCGAAATACACTCATATGTGCGTAAAAACAATGTCGGCGAAAAAATGGAAAATACACACAATCACACGTAATGTCGTTAAAAAAATGTTTTTTATGTTTTGTTTTTTTAAATAAAAATATAAATATATAGGCATAATAAAATTGTCTTTTTTTAAAAAAAATTATATATCGTTGAAAAGAAAGATCGGGATAATATAAAATGATGAGTAGTGCCTTACGTGCAGTAGTCGTTTAAATGTTCTGGAAATCTCACTCTTCTTCCAGAACGCGTCGTTTTAGGTATATTATCAGATACATTCGGAGTATCATCGCTAGTGTTGGTTGTCGGTTAAGAAATTATGAGTGTAGGAGTCGTGTTGTGCGATTGTACCGAAGGAAAGCCGACGTGAATAGGATTTCCTTCTAAATACGCTGCTTTTAAGCGATCGATGCTGATGCTGTCGTTGGTTCCGTTCTTATCGATTATATAGTACTTGGGTTTGCGTTGAAGAACTTTGAAAGTTCCTTCGTATGCTGATTCGAAAGGTCGTTGGTTCGAGTTTTGAAGCACGAAGACGTGTGTACTATATCGTAAGTCAGGTTGAACGAAAACATCAGTTGATTGAGGTCGAGTGGAAGCAGGTTTAACTGAACGCATTGCGTTTGCAAGCCTGTTCGTGTAGGAGGTTAGATCCATGTTCATTGAAGAGGATGAAGGATCCACGAATTCTCCTGCAAGTCGAAGTGTCGTTCCATAAACGAGTTGAGCCGCACTGTATCCAATGTCAGCTTTCACTGCATTGCGGATACCTAGTAAGACGAGTGGAAGACCGTCGGTCCACTGTGAAACGTTTGCAGCTGATAACGAAGCTTTTAGTTGTCGGTGAAAGCGTTCAACCATCCCGTTTGCTTGTGGGTGGTAGGCGGTCGTTCGGAAGCGAGTGGTTCCTAAAAGTGTGGTCAGACGACGGAAAAGATCGGATTCAAACTGACGTCCGCGATCTGTAGTGATGGTTGAAGGGCAGCCGAAGTTTGCTACCCATCGTTCGACGAAGGTGCGGGCCACTGTTTCAGCAGTGATGTCCTTGATAGGTACTGCTTCTGGCCATCGAGTGAAACGGTCTACGCAGGTTAAGAGATAAGAGTATCCAATTGAATTTGGTAAAGGTCCTACCAAATCCAGATGAACATGGTCGAAACGAGCATCGGGAGTTTTAAACGAGCCTAAGGGACATTTATTGTGTCTGATAACCTTAGATTTTTGGCAGCTTACACAGGAGCGTGCCCACTCCCTCACGTCTTTATTCATTCCAGGCCAGCAAAACCTTTCTGCTATAAGCTTGATGGTTGCACGAACACCTGGATGCGAAAGTTTGTGCAATGTGTTGAAGACATTGCGTCGATAATGTTTCGGCACGATTGGGCGATCCCTACCTGTAGATGTGTCACAAAGTAAGGTTTCCTTACCTGTTCCCATCTGTTTGATGCGTAGTTTAAGTGTTGTGGACGATAACTCGTGCTGAAGATCACTGTCTTCTTTTTGAAGCTCGGCGAGTTTAAGAAGGTCGATTCCTTGGAAACTGTTCAAGGGAGTTATGCGAGATAAAGCGTCTGCAACTACATTGTTTGCTCCAGAGATGTGTTGAATATCTGAAGTAAACTGCGAAATGTAGTCCAGTTGTCGAGACTCACGTGGAGAGTACTTGTCAGAAAGAGAGCTTAACGAGAAAGTGAGCGGTTTATGGTCCGTGAAAAGAGTGAATTCACGGCCTTCGATGTAGTGTTGGGAATGCCGTACAGCACAATACATAGCTAGGAGTTCCCTACCGAATGTGCTGTACCTCGATTCGGTGTCTAGCAACCTTCTTGAGAAAAATGCCAAGGGTTGCCAGGAGTTGTTAACCCATTGTTGTAAGACTCCTCCGATTGCCGAGTCCGATGCGTCTACTGCGATGCTAATGGGTGCTCGGGTGTCCTGATGTGCGAGCATTGTTGCTTTAGCAATCAGTTCCTTAACTGTGGAGAATGCTTTTCGTGCGGTGTCGTCCAAATTAATGGATTTCGCATTTCCACGAAGTTGGTCGGTCAGAGGTTTCATAAGTAATGCGCATTTCGGTATGAAACGTCTATAGAAACTTACAAGGCCGTTGAACGTGCGTAATTGCTTGATGGTGGTCGGTTCTGGGTAATCCAAAATGGCCGCCACTTTGGTCCTAAGAGGTCGAATGCCTTGAGCGTCGATAGTGTGTCCTAGGAAGTCTAACGAGTCGGTTCCGAATTGGCATTTCTGAACGTTTACAGTTATGTCATGTTTTTGAAGTCGTTCGAAAACAAGGTCCAGATGCTTGAGATGTGTTTCTCTGTCCGGACTTGCGATTAGACAGTCATCAACATACGCGTGTACGAAGTTGAGACCTCGAAAAACGTCGTCTATGAATCTTTGGAATGTTTGAGCAGCGTTTCTTAGACCGAGAGGCATTCGCAAAAATTCATAGAGTCCGAAGGGAGTTATGATAGCTGTTTTCGGTATGTCGTCAGTAGCCATAGGGATTTGGTTATACGCTTTAACCAAGTCGATTTTCGAAAGGACAGTTGTACCTTTCAAAGTAGCTGTCAAATCGTGAATGTGAGGCAACGGGTAACGATCGGGAATGGTTTTCGCGTTCAATCTCCGATAGTCACCAGTTGGACGCCAATCGTTGCTGTCCTTTTTAGGGACCATGTGCAACGGAAATGCATATGGGCTACTTGACGGTCGTATGATTCCTAAGTCTATCATATGGTCGAACTGGTTTTTCGCTAACCTTAGCTTTTCGGGAGCTAGTCGTTGTGCTTTAGAAAATACAGGTGGTCCTGTAGTCGTGATGTGATGTGTAACATTGCTGGTTACACACGGTAGTTTCGGTTGAGTTTGTTGTATCCCAGGGTACTTATCGAGTAGTGGTTGATAGAGTGGGTCTATCATATGTTTAACTGTGACTGGGGATACTCTGCAACCAGTAAAATAAGTTACGCAAACGGACAAATTAGTGTTTCCGTCTACTAGCCTCCGTTTGCGAGTGTCGATGATCAGATTGTGGTGTTGTAGAAGGTCCATACCAATGATTGACATAAAAACATCTGCAACAACGAAAATCCAGTGAATGGGTTTGCGTCAACCCACGTTAAGGTAAACGTACCTTTTGCCATACGTAGCGATCGGTTGCAGGGTTTTCTGCAATTTCTGAAAAGCTTTCCATACTGGTTATGATACCAGCACCAGTCGGGGTTATCTGTCTCTCGTGGTCTAGAGACAGATCGCTTACGGGAAATGCTTCTACGTGGTGTGCGCGATCTCTTACGGTCGGTACGAAGACTAAGATAACGCGTGAGTGTGTGACATAAGTCGGTTATATCATTCTGAGTCGTATGAGGCTTTTCTTTGACTGAAAATACCTCGGTAGTAGGTTTCGTAATTTCTAGAATGCGGTCGGCAGATGCAGCTAGTTCGTCTAAGGCATTGTTCTGGAACGAGACCAGAACTGCTTGCACCTGTTGGGGAAGTTTTGACAAGAAGAGTTGTTTGAATAGACCTTCGTCGAAAGTTCTTGGGCCTATAATCTCTCTCGTCCGTTGCAACATGTCCGTCTCAGAACCGTGTTACAGGTCGATGTTATTGAAGAGTTGATCTAACCTTTGTCGATCGGTTAGGTCTCCTCGTTTAAGAACCGAGTGTTTTAAGATTTCGTAAGGATCGGAAACATCACTAGTAAACATACTAGGTGTTACGTATCTGTTGAATTCGCGCGGTAGTGCCTTGACTACTGCGAGGAATTGTGCACGTGTGTCGGTCACGCCGTGCTCGGAGAAGTCGGCTTCGATGTTGCCGGGCCAGAAAAGCATCAGTTGAAACGAAGGCGGGGATAAAGTCTTAAGTTTGAGTACTTTAGGTGTATGTTCAGTCATGATGAAATATAAAGTACGATAATGAACGAGGGGAAAAATATATATCCAAGAAAAAACACGAAAAAAATCACAATGTTTAAAATAAAAAATAAAAAATAAGGCAATGATATATAAAAATCCCAAAAAGGAACAGACTCACAGTTGCAATTAGGTGTACCAGATCACGTCGGTCTCACCAATGATAATGTCACAGGTATTCAGTGTTTGACAACGCTTCTACCAGTAACACCTTCTAATATATTTCGTTCCCACCCACAGAAATCAAAAGACAGAGTCGAGGAGATCGGAAGAGTATATTTGGCGTTGACCAATATATCGGAATTCTCTGATCTAATCTGGCTAGCGATTGCGGTTGATGTTGAGCACGGCGTTACCACACGTGATCTGGTGCGGATGCCTGACCGAGCGCCTTCATCTAGATGAGTCCACCAAAACATATGGTCAGCATCCAATGTCGAAAACTTAGTGCTATTTATTTTGGGGATTTATTTACCGCTACAAGATCAAAAAGTATCTGCTAGATGAACGGGAAATGACTGAAATTTATGGACACAATACACCTGGCGAACATTAGAAATGATGTAGAGAACTTCAGCCTAAGGTCGTTGGGTCGGGTAGATTATAGAGCTACACAAAAGAAACAGCGGGGGGGGGGGCAGAACGAGGAAATCCGACCTCCATTGCTTACAAAGATAGTGGATATAATAGTTCCCGCTTCATTCTGGTTGATTACCAAGCAGACTGCCACGATAACGAAATTGAGTTCAGTTTAATTGCAGTCCACTGAACTCAAATCAAACTTATAATTGTCTTGATTTGACCACTTCTGCAAACCACTACTAATTGTCGAGGTGACGCGCCAATCGGTTTACGACAGTTTGACCTTCAAGTGCTCGGTAACCTTGGTCAAAGGAGGGTCCCACTGGGTCGTTGCCTCTTTACGACCATACTACCTACTTCTCCAGATTGTGTTAATGTTAGGTTTGTGTTAATGCTTATTTTCCGACCCCATCCATAAATAAATATATACATATTGTGTGCTCTTCCTTAGTCGTTGGCTCATCTTTTTATCTTCCTCCTTTCCACCCAATCTCCCTATTTTGGGGGAAAATTCCCACAGTTTGGGTAACTTTTGAGGAAACCGCTATATAAAAATGTGGAGAAACGGCACAAAAACCCCAAGTATTCCCCAAGCTGGGGAAAACAACCATATTTCTCATGACTTTTGGAAAACCCCAAAATAAAGAGATTGGGTAGTTTTCACTACAAACGCTACTCTGCACTCTCCCCTAGTAACCAAATTACATTCAGGATAAAGGCAAACAACCTTATTATTTTTCTAGCTAAGCTAGGTGTCAGTCAGTTAACTACAAAGTAGGACCAGGCACATATATGCATCGGTCTAAGTTACCATGCCTCATTAGCACAATAAGATAATATAATACGTTAGGGATCACTTTCGTATACAATCAACCATATCGGAGGCTCATATCAGTGGCACATGTGAGGTTGCATGTTGTAAGATTAAATCTAGAAATGGGTTAGTGACTATGGGGGGAATATACCGTGGTCCGTTTTGTCTTGCTGGCGACACATCTGTTCTTGGAGTATGGCAGAATGTTGTCTCATCATTGGAGACTTCAACGCACCACATATCAACTGGATAGAGCTCACAGCTCCAGGTAGTGGTTTTGATAGCAACCTTTTATCTACCGTTATTTAGTGTGCACTTGTACAATGTATCACAAAACCGACACATATTGATTTGCAACATGTTCCGTCACTGCTGGACCTCGCCCCCACCCATCACTGTGAGGATGTCTTTGATATTCAGCACCTTCCCCCACTAGTGAACAGTGATCACGTTGTAATTCACTTTAAGTTTAGGACACATGGTGTACAATTGGTATCTGCTCCACCTCGTCCCAATATCTGGCGAGCCAATATTTCGGCAATCAGAAACTATGCTATCTCGACTTATTGGTCGGTCGACTCGGATGGATTGATCGAAGATGAATGGAATAAGTTTAAGGCTACATTCGAGTCCGTAACGTTGCCGTTTATCCCATGGTCAGCACGTAGGCTATCACATTACCCTCCATGGATTAATAAGGAAACCCGGAAGCTGTTAAGGCGTAGGAAACATTTCTGGGACTTATTCTTGGTGACAGGTCATGCGTCATTTGAGCGTGAGTACCAAAAATTCCGTAATATCTGTAAGAAAACCATAGCCAAATCCCGTACCACTTACGAACGACAGTTAGTATATGATAGCCGTACTTGTCCGAAACGATTGTTTTCGCATGTTAAACGGCGAATGGAAAGTAGTGATGCTATTCCCCTGTTACTGTTACACGGAAATTCAGATTTACTAGCTGAATCAGATCGAGCAAAAGCTGAGACTTTTTCAAAGTATTTTAGCGAAGTCTACTCTACGTTTATTGCAACAAATACTTGTCCCACTCACACCGAGATACCAACCATTGAATCTGTACAGGTGACTGAGGAAACTGTCCTTCCGTTGATAACTAACCTCAAACCTGGTAAGTTACCGGGCCCTGACGGGTTACATCCATGGTTGCTGTCATCTCTTGCGGACATTATTTCAAAACCGCTCGTGACACTCCTCAACATGTCCCTTTCACTCGCTCAACTCCCTAGAGATTGGAAGGACGCTATAGTCAGTCCTATATTTAAGGACGGTCATAAACAGATAGTATCTAACTACCGGCCTGTCAGTCTAACTAGTCGTTAAGTTACTTGAAAAGATAATTCGAGTTAGGTTGCTAAGCCACATAGTTTCACACAATCTGTTAGCTCCTGAACAACACGGATTTCGTAACAAGCGTTCATGCTTGACTAACTTGCTTATTGCGAGGGAGGATTGAACAGCAGCCCTAGATAACGGTCTGTCTGTCGATGTAATATTCATAGATTTTAGCAAAGCATTTGACAAGGTTTCACATGTAGGTCTTATGCAGAAGCTCACTGATGTTGCTTAGATCGTCGACATTATTGTTTGCGGATGATGTAAAAATCTGGAGAACAATAAAAAGTGCGGCTGATCATCTGGATCTTCAAGCTGACTTAGACGATTTAGTTAGATGGGCTCGAGGTTGGGGTTTAGAAATCAATGTTAGGAAGAGTGTGTTAATGCACATCGGTCACGGTAATAGTTACCGTTACACCATTGAGGGTAAACCTCTTCCATGCGTTCAAGAGCATAAAGACTTAGGAGTAGTATTAAGTCATGATTTAAAAACAACTACGCACTGCAAAGCAGCCGCTGTCAAAGGTTTTCGTGCGTTATGGTCACTTCGTCGAGCGTTCAAATCTTTTGACGAGGAAAAGTTTCGAATTTTATATCCCATATATGTTAGACCACATTTAGAGTACTGTATCCAAGCAGCTAGCCCATGTCTGGCAAAGGATACTAACTCCCTTGAGCGTGTCCAGCGTGTGGGAACGAAATTAGTGAAGGGTCTTTCTAGACTCCCTTACGATGAGCGGTTAAAACGTCTAAATCTTTTCCCCTTGTCGTATCATAGGACACGAGGTGACCTTATACTGGCATTTCGTATCTTTAATTATGATTTGGGTGTTAATATGTCTTATCTTTTTGCTCCCTCCAGCGCTAATAATCTCCGAGGTCATAGCAAGAAGGTTCATAAACCACGATCTAATAAACTTAAAGTGGGGTCTTGTTTTTCTCATCGAGTAGTCAATCATTGGAACGCCTTACCCGAACAAGTGGTATCAGCCCCATCAGTGAATACTTTCAAGGAGAAGCTGGACCTTCACTGGAAAGCAATGTGTCAGGATTAATACAGGTTCACCAACCTACTATCCTTATTACTGAAGACTGATAAACACCAAATTCATAGAAGTAGTTGCTTCAATGGTAGTAATATATAAAAGAAAGGTTGCATATAAGGATATATTACAGGAAGAAAGAATTAGTTGGTAGAAAGAAGGATATGGAGCGATTTTAATCTCATAGTTTAAGGGAAGACAGAGAGTGTATACACCTACGCCATTGTGATCGATTCTGAGTCATGTCACCCAGAGTGTCCAACAATTGGTTACGATAGTCGCGCGTACCCCAACCAAGTAGTCTGCATCTACCAACATGTCTCATACCAGAAGTTAGTGACTTCAAGGACTGATGCCACGTTTTGGTTTGGCCGCCCCCAACTTTCTTCCAACCATCTCCAACACCGGTCAGCATTGCACGTCGTGGTAATCGGTGTTCAGGCATACGTAACACGTGGCCCAACCATCTCAGTCGATGAAGATTGACAGCCTCATCAACTGATTTACCACCTTCCCTAATACCCTACTTCTAACCTCACTATTACTTACCCGATGATCTCAGCAGATGCCAGCAATATCTCTAAGGCATCTGTGGTCAAATACTAGTAGCCTACGAGCGTATTCTGCTCTTAATGGCCACGTTTGGCAGCCGTAAAGTAGAACAGGACGAACTGCCGCACAGTATACTCGTTCCTTAATTGATAGACGGATATCTCGCCTTCGCCATAGGTGACTTAAGTTAGCAAAAGCCAAACGAGCTTTCCGAGCCCGTGCAGAGATTTCGTCAAACAACAATCCGTTATGGCTGATCAGACTCCCAAGATAAGTGGAGTTGTAAACACTTGACTTCTTAATCCCAGTTTCCTTTATTAGTCTGAAAAGCTATCTGATGTTAATTACAGCCTCTGCCTTCATCTCTTTTGCTTTCGTTGCTCACGGTCGTTCCTTAGACTTTTGGTTAACGTAGATCTGATTTATTCTCACTCTTCTTCATGTGTAGAGCACGATGGGATAAGTTTACGAGAGTCTATTACTGCAAAAGGTTTAGTAGAAATCCATTGGTTTTTCGTAACCCTTTGGTTTAAATCACTAGTAGACGTCGCTACTGTTTCCACAACTATTCGTATATCATTCCAAGTAACATCTGGATCACCGTCGTTTTCAGAACTGCTTAAATGTGCCCTCAGTTGTTCATGATGTCGACTTTTGGCTAGGTGTACTTACGAGCCTAACTCTAAGGTAATCCAAGCAACCGAAAAACGGGGAATAAATTTACTCCGTCAGAAAATAAGGGAAATAATGGAGAAACGTCCCTAAAGTCTCCTTTTACACCAACTATAAGGGAATAATGTGAAAAATCCCTCTTTTTATCGCTTTAGGCTCGTAATGTGGTCAAGTTGTCTACTTTCCTTCCTTACTTACTTACGCCTTTTACTCCCAATGGGGCATACGCCGCCGACCAACATTCTCCAACCCACTCTGTCCTGGGCCCTCCTTTCTAGTTCTATCCGATTGTTGTTCAGTCTTCTCATGTCTGTCTCCATTTCTCGGAGTAATGTATTCTTTGGTCTTCCTCTTCTCCTTTGACCTCAAGGATTTCAAATAAGGACTTGCCTTGTGACGCAGTTGGGTGTTGTCTACTTTCCGCATACCCCCGAATGCCCGACGTCAAGGAAAGAAATAAAAATTTCCCCTTTATTAGTTGCTTGGGATTTCTGACAATTTTAATAGAATATTGGTTATCCTGATGACTTATTTGTTCTAAATATTCGGCACAAGGAAAATTGTCTGTTGGACAACACACTTTAGGGATTAGTTCAACAGGCCCTCAGCCACATTTGTCACCCATCATCTTTAAGCGACCTGAATGCTGACTTTACATAAGCTCTCCAACTCTTAGTTGAAAAGGTGTGTGGGCTAGGAAAATAGTGATTGATTGTCTATTTAGTCTGACAGGTATTACGAATGTTGTATATTTTCCTACTCTTGTTATTACTATTTATTTATTTATTTTTATGTGAACACATACATATTGGTACAAGAGTGCGCCAAATATATATGCGCCACACAAAACAATGAGAATTTAAAGAGAAGGAAAAGGAAAAAAGGTAAGGAGGGTAGAAAAAGAACAATAGGGAAAAGATTGGTGTAAGGTAGTGTAATAATAA